CCACCCACACAGCTGCTTAAGCCACAACGTCTCAGACCTTGAATGTGAGAAATACAGAATCACCTTAACTCAGTATCTTAAATGAATTAATTTCAATTTAAAGTAATGTGCACACATCCCAACATAACTAGAACAGGTGTTCGGTCAAAAAAATAAATAAAAAAAATTAAATAATATAATATTATGTTATGTTAATTAGTTAAAAAACACACACACAGTACACTCCAATAAAAATGTAATGATATTAAAATCATGTAATATCACAAAGACCTTGTTTGGGTCAAAATGTTGTAATATACTAAAGTTTTATGGGAGCAGATAAAAGACTGTGCGTTTTTAAAAATGTTTAAAAAAGTAATTAATTAACATAAAAGTAACAATATAATTCTAATATATAATTTATAATAACAATATAGTTAATAATAACAATTATTTTAATAATAAATTAAAAAGAATTAAAATAAATATTTTAAATTATTTATTATTGAGTTGGTATTTACTAGGAGTTTGATTAAATATATATATATATATATATATTTTAGTTTTAGTTTAGTTCAATATGAAAGATATAAAGACATTGCACTTACAATTACAAGCATGTATTTACTTATATGCAATTAAATATTTTGTTTATAAAAACAATAAAATTTAACTATTAAAAATAATAAAAGAGCAATAATTTCAAATCAATATTTCAAGCTAATTTATTATTCATTGGATAACAAATTAGCTTAAAATACTGTTTTGCAGTTATTGTTCCTTTATTATTTTTGAATCATTATTTTTTAGGAAGTTTGCTGCAGCAATTTTTAATTGAACTCAATTGAAAAAAGGTGGCTGTTTTTGCAATGATCCCCCTAGTTTTTTTTTTTTTTTGTACTATACATATTTTGGCTGACTGTACATTCATATTATTTTTTTTGATTAGCTGTGATTTTGTCATTTCATGCAAAATTTCAGTTTCAGTGAGAACAGAAAACACTGGAATGCGTTGCATTGAGCTTGGTCTCTGGACACAGCAGTACACTGATGAATGCGTGTTTATTTGCAAAAACATAATTTCCAGGTGGATGCAACCATATTGCCACATGCCGTCCCATAGCTACTGCTAGCGAGAGGACTTTAAGTCTGCTAACGCATGATGCTGCGTTCCCTCACAGTTCACACTGGGGCAACCTGCAGCTTCATGATATTATTATCCTTCCTCACTCCAGAGGATATAATTATATCCAGAGAAAGAGTGCGAAACAGAGAATGAAATGTGTCTGGATTGCAGCTGGTGATAGTGGATGATGTAGGTGTATTGTGTTTTTTGGACAAGTTTGAGGCTGAAGCAAGGGTTTTTGAATGCGATGATAGATGTATTTCAGTGTGTTATGTTATTGGGGTGGGCGGCAGCTCACTTAGGGTTAGGTTACGCTAAGGAATGTTTGCATTATGTGAGTAGATTGTGTCTTTTGGGTCACTTCCTGTGAGCTCTGAGGATGCCCCAGGTCACCTGACCCCAGACACACACACTGGGGAAGCTACAGTTTACCTTATTACAATTCAAACAAGGTGGAGGGGAAATCTATGGAAGCTTATTCCTGCCATGGAATAAAAATATGAAGCGGATAATTGCTACTTTTTATCTTATAATTGCATGTTTATATCTCGCAATTTTTACATCTCATATTTTTTTACTTTTCTTCTCATAAATTACATCCCAGTATTTGGACTTTTTTCCTGGAACTATGAGTTTACATCTCATAATTGTGATTTTTTTCTTGGAATTTTGAGCTTAAATCTTGCAATTGAGATTTTTTTTGTTTTTTAATTCTGTGTTTGCATCTCATATTTTTGACCTTTTCTTGGAATTTTGAGTTTACGTACATCTCGCAATACTTTTTTTTTTTTTTTTTAAGAATTCTGTTTGCATCTTGTAATTTTGAAAATATGAGTTTACATGTCATAATTTTGACTTTTCTTCTCACAAGAAAAAAAAATGAAAACAAGTCAGAATTGTGAGGAAAAAAGTCGGAATTATGAGATAAGTCCCAATTACCTTTTTTATATTATTACTCTGTGGCAGAAATAAGCTTCTATAGAAATCACATATATGAAACGCATAATTCAGAGTCTAAATTCTGATTGGATGAGCATTAAAGGGATCATTAGATGCAAAATTCACTTTTACATGACAGTGTTAGTCTTACCCTCAGCTCTCCTGAAGCCACCTTAAACACCAGATCCACTACAGATCCCACAGCCAGACGAGCAGCACTGGACGAGTGAACTTCATTCCAGATAGTGTCACTGTCAACCTGTAAATACACACAAACACAGGTCTGTTGAATTTAGGGTGGAGATGATACTGGGAATCATGGGCGACATTTGACTCTTGAGTCGGGGGGGGCAAGAAGAAAAAAAAATAAAATAAATAATAATATATAAATGAAATAAATAAATAAAAATAAAGATTTTTTTTTTCCGGATGTAAGCATCAAAACAATGCCCTACCGTATTGCAACGCATCAAAGCAGTCAATCCAACACAGTCAAGAATAACTTAAAGAGGTTGCCACCATTTAGTAAACTGTGGACTAGCTTTGGCTCTTTCTGCTGACTTGAATGGTGATGCTTCCCGTTTGACAGTTGATGGCCTTTCATTTTTAACCAGAAATGTGCACGCTGCTTTTCTGATGTTCACTGAAGTTTTCCGTGTCTTTTCCCCGTGTCACTTGAAATGTTTCCGTTTTGAATCGTTGTTAC